AGTATGTAGAACTAAATCAAATTAAATGTTAACAGCTCTACACAAATAAATGCGTGAATTTTTTAATAAAAAGGATTGGAAATATTTTTTTCACATATATATAACTTTATATATATATATTATAACATTAATTACAAAAAAAATTATAACATTATAACATTAATTACAAAAAATTATAACATTATAACATTAATTACAAAAAATTATAGCCTTGATGCTCTTTTAAAAAAAAAGTTAAGATAATTATGAGAGAGAAAGAGAGAGAAATTCAAACAATTACAACTTATCAATGGTATTAGCGTTTTTTGCACCATTTTTTTATCAGTTATTGGCACAAGTAGGCCAAAAGATAAAAGATATACCACAAATGTGTGGTTAACTCATTTACCCAAAATCACTTAACTTTATGTTAATGGAAACGATACACACACACACATATGTTCTACTCGTTGAAAAACGATGACGTATCTTTGTGAGCTGTCGTAAATTGAATTTTTCACGCGTTTATGCGATATTTGTCTCTGATGTACACATGTGCGCGTACATTACAAGTGCGTTAAACGTGTATTCTCTTCCCGGTCAATGCTCTAACCGATTTAATGGCGGTTAGAGCAAATCGAAGCGAACCGCAGGAGACGTGTACGGGTCGCTGCTCTATCGTCGGGGAGAAAGTCGATTGGCTGCGTGCCAACCACGTGCTGATAAAGAGATTACAAACAGGAACAACGCTTTTGTAACGATCTCCCTGCGTTCCCGCATGTTCGAAACAAGTTTGCCGGCAATTCCGCGCGGATAATTGCGCATATTTGACTCTTAAGTAACTGCTTGTAATTATCTTTATAGATCTCTCCGTGTTAATCGTTTAAAATTTTTAATGAAGCATTGGCGTTTGTATTTCCCTTGTTCTGGATAGTCTTCGGGACTTGGCGGCGACGTGATGCAAAAAGCGGCAGCTTGTGCGACTTTTTGCACATCGTTCATGCATAATCGATATCCTCGTGAAAATGGTGATTGCGTTTAAGAGGATTTATTCGGCTTCGTCTCGGAATTTAAAAAAGTTAAAAGTTATTTGTCATGCAGACGTGGTTCTAACTATATGAAAAAGAATAGCGAAAAAGAATATTCTCGCATGCAAATGTGGATGTAGCAACAAAAAGAATGTATTTTTAGGAAAAATATAAAAATTGAATAAAATATAAAAAAAATTATTTAGATAAAATAGTCTATGTATCAATAATATTTATAATATTATTAAATTATTAATTATTCAGATTAACATGATATCTAAAATTATTTAAAATAGAAAACAAATTCAATAAATAATCGTGCTTACATTTTACAAATCTATTTTTAACACTCTTGTTTAATCTATTTATTTATAATAAAAATTTATCTTGTATAAATAATTTTGTAGTTAAAAGTAAAGAAATATATTCTTGAATTTTATATTTTTTATTATTTTATTATTTCTTAAAGAATCTAAAAGATTTCTTATGACAAATTGTGAAGGACGCTCTGAGAATTGAAGCGATAAGTTAAGCAGACGACTGTCTTAAATCTTATCATCTTTCATTGTGATATGATTTAAACGCAAGAAAAATTTTCCCAATGGATCGCCTATCTCTTCTTTTGAAAAACGGTCAACTCGATAAGCAGATTTGTATGACAGACAGCCACTAACCAGTGAAAACGATTCCAATTTTGTATCGAAAGTAGTATTTTACAGGATATTTTTAAAAAGGTTCTTGAAATCTTGATATATATTTAGAATAATGAGATCGCATCTCAAACGTTAAAAAACAATCAAAGAAAATTTTATGTTAATTTTTTTGTTCTAAGTTTCCAGTACCTTTTATGAAAAGTCAATTTTCTGAAACAATAGTTTCGCTTAATATGCATAATATGCTTTTCCTATTTATATTTAATAATTAAGAAATGAAATAAATGTCAATACTAAATAATGAATTCAGTTGATAAATCATATTTAAATATAAATATTAGTAATTAAATATAAATAATTTTTAAATATAAATATTACCAATTCTGTGTATCACTAACCGTTGCATGTGTCTCTCGAATATACACATATCAAAATATCAGAATCCGTTATAAATACGAATATTTTATAAAAGCGTCTTGTCATCGTCTGTCTCCTCGAGAGTCGCACATGGATGATGGTCTCGCGCGAGCAGTCTAGCGATTTTTTTTTTCATCACCGGTTGAGCACCCATTGAGCGCGGAAAGCACGTGGTTGGTCGCACGCCAGTGCACAGTTATGTTTATAAGAACGTATGACGGATCCGCACGGTATTTCGCCTCGTAACGGCGATACTATGCGTGAGTTATAATATATATGTGACGACGGAGATCTTGGACGCGCGACGCGTTACACGGATATTCCGCAAATCTCCCTCCTCTCGGGACATTCCGTTTTGGCCGTTCGCCGAGAGCGGATTCTTTACCGCGCTCCCTCACATTGTACCTTTTTTTTCCTCTTCTTTTTTTGGACGGCCGTTCAGCCGCATTTCGCAAGTCATGGACGCGACGCTGCGGCGACGAAGAATTAATGAGCGATCGCCGGCGATAAATCATTAGGACACGGCATTCGAATTTCTCGCTCGTAAATCCGCGTAATGGTGGATGTGTATCGTTCTGGCTAAATACTTCCCTTCTCGCGTATTACAGTGTCTACCGAAAGTAAGTGTCTCAATTCGTTTGTGTGCCTGTCAGGACAGATATAAAGCAAGTGCAAAATTAATGGAAAAAAATGAAAGGAAAAACGGTGGCAATAAATTCTATTTGTTTCATCTTTAAGATACTTTGCCCTCTCAATAATTTTTTTATTGATTTATTATATACTAGAGATGACATTTTATTGATGTCTCAGGCTTTTATTGATGTCTCATGCTTTTTGACATTCGTAATTGCTGTTCAATAAGAAGACTAGATATTTATTCAGTCCGTGTATTCTCACCTATTTATTATTCAGAGAAACGTCCACGCAAAAATCTTAAAAATACTCATCATGACATCAATTGGATAATGTACGTTGAATATAATAGCAATAGCGAAAATGATGATAATAACGATGTAAAAAAATAAATGATATAAGAAAATCGGACAAAAAAAAATTTTTTTAATTTTTTAACTGATGATAAAAATTCTATTAGATACTTTATATTCATATGTGTGTACGTTATAATATTAAACTTCTGCAAATACTACTAAATATGAATATTCAATATTTTTCTGCAGTCTCACTCTTGAATGCTCGTTGACCCCAGCACGTTACGATAATTATTCAACAAAAAGAAGAATACTCTAGGATGATATATCTTGAACGTTTTAGTTGCTTGCAAAACCAAATGGCAGCGTCTTTGTTACCTTTGCCATTCAGGCTAATTTCGGATCATTAGCGACGCACATCCGCAGGTTCATGCATGAGACGAGTTTCGTCACGCATTTTCTTCGTTTATCTTTGATTTTCTCTTCTTGTATGCTATATTTTGGACTAGGACTATCATTACATAATATACACTACATATTGAAAAATAATATCAATAATTTTAATAATTTTTAAAAAACCATTTAAAAGAAAATTATTGTATCTTTCTTCATCTGCAAATTCTCTGATGAAAGAGAGAGGGAGAAGGAGAACTTTGAATTAATTTTTCTATGTAAACATTTAGTGTTATTCAAATAATTGTCTACATATAATTGATATATTGCATATAATATGTGTATATAATGAGATGGTAGCAAAAATTCATAACTTTATGCACACATACACAACATTAAATTTTAATCGCGCACAATATATAATATTAATTTGCTTCGTGAATTATCTTTTCGGTTTATATCACTAATTTAGTGCAGTATATAAATCGAATTTACAGATTGGACACAATCTTATGCTGATAATTAAATCTGCGTGATCACTCGCATTCCGCTTGTCACTCCGCGATTGCGGAAAATGTGAATGAATTATTTAGCCGCGGCAAACGCGACACGTCACTCCGACGTACAAATGCGCTTCATGTTTTATTCACCAGCACCGTTGCACATTACGCGATATGAAGCGACTAGACGCTTGAGAATTGACATTCGCGCTCGCTTTCCCAGAGCGGATTACTTCGAGAACACAATGGCGAGGCATGTCGCAAACCGTTAGTCGCACGAAATGAAAAATATATAAATCTCATCTACGTATAATTTCGCTACAAATCCTTTTGCCGGTATCGATATCGAATAAATCGTTCGATTAAATCTGATATTCTTATTTTTGCTTCCCACGAGAATACTAGTCTTAAAATCTTAAAGTGAGGAATGGATAAAGCATAGAAAAATGTATAAAAAAATAAAAAAATAAAACTTATAGATTTTTGCAAGAGCAAACAAAAATTACATCCTGCAAATTAAAAATACATTTAAACCTCTGACTCAAAGAAGATTTGAGATTGCGAGCTCTATTCCTTAAGCCCACCTCGCTTAATTATGCGATCCCGATTGCGCTTCAGGAATTTACCTAAGCGGCCATACGTCACAGCCCCTAAGGTGTCTCGCTGCACTATTTCTGTCGCTTTGGGTGCCGTGGTAAAAAGACGATGCGTGCATGCGCACGCGTATTAATAGACTGACCGAGCAATGCATCCGCGGTGACGTCGGCGCACCATCGAAATTCAGCCAAAACCGTTGCGCGAATTTGTCTTACGCAATTTTCCCACGACGGAAGACGGTAACACGTGTTGCCGCAAGAGTGAGCACCGAGGGGAAATCACCGCTCGGGAAATCCGTGCTTTCGACTTACGAGTAGTTTCGAGCGAAGCTCCCTCGCTCTCGTTTTCGAGAGAATTTGCCGACCGCACGCGAGCCTGTGCGAATGGCAAAGTAAATGATGCAAGCCGGATAAAGTCATTAAGAATGTTTAATCCGCGCGAATTTAACGACCTAACTGTCTGCAAAGGAAAGTTATTAACGATGCTGTTTATTTCTGATTGCAGAATCACGAATATGGCGGATACGGAGACGAGCCGCGTCGCAAAAGGTGAGAGAATTTATGCTTTTATTGTTTATATTTATGTAAACAAAAAGTTGTACCTCTTTCACATGTTCAAGAGTATAATAATGCGGTAATTGGACATTGAAATGTATTATTACTAATTAAAAAGAAATAATGATGACTCATAAGAATAATTTATTTTTTTATTTTATGACTGACTAATAATAAGTGTATCATTATTAAAGACAATTATCGCGATGACTCATATTTTCTCATTCAAAATAATTTATTGATATATATATATTATGCAAAACTTTAGAATTATTGATGATTAATAATACTAGAGTCTCGATTTTCTCAATATGTTATAAATCATGTAATATTGCATTTCTTTGACCCATTAACATTTGCGAAGTGTCTGATTGGACAATAATCTCGTGCAAATCAATGACGACATTCGATCGCCTCGATATATTACTTTGCATAAATAGTCATTGAAATCAATTGAACGTAATTTATTCATCAATCGTTCTCAATAAAGTTGTAAATGTATTAGAGTATTTATTACGTATAAACTTTTCTTTCAATATTACAATTTTATATGTATGAGCAAAAAATTGCATTTTTTTTATTTATTTAAATACTTTTATTATTACATTAATTTATGTTCGGTATAATTTATTTCAACTATGTCCATTCTTTAATTGCATTGAAAATGCAAGTACGATATTTCTTTCAAATAGAAATTCCTATTTGTACTATTATAATGGTGCGTTATTAAAAAAAAACACTCAAGCGTGGAATTGGATTTTCGATAAGTACCAAAACGCGGTTTATACATCGCGATGTCGAAAATTAATTAAAACTACATAGTTCGTTAAAGATTGACCCGTCTGTCGTCCGACAGTCCACGTATAATAATAAGTTAAGTCGAGCATTAAGCGTGATTCAATCTAGCGCTCCGGGGCATTCTGATAGCAAATGATATCTGCTTCACGGATTCACGATAACTCTTTAGTAAGGTAAATTCGAGGCAAAGCCACTGAGTGCCCGCAGAAGCAGATATCAACGTTAGATAATCGGCAAAAATCGAAAACAGAATGAAGATAAAACGATATTTATCTTTTATTCGTAAATTCAATATTTTCAATTCTATTATCTTCATTTTCGATCAAAACTGAAATATACATTTTTTTTATATTTTAACGCTTGAGAAACTCAAGTTTTTTATTATAAATATATTGCATGATATAAATGTTAATGTTACAAGTTTTTTATTTCGAGAAAAAAGAGAGAACTAATAATTCAATAATAGGCGTATTTTTTCATGTATTTTTCCATCTCGAGATACATAGATATTAAATCGTGATATGAAAACGATATAAACAAGCTTCGAATATAACGTCGATCATCGCGAGTAGTAATTCAATTTCGCATCGACTCTTTGCATCGATTCTAAGCCATTAATCCATACAACGGCATTTTCGCTATTGCTCTCGTGGAAGAATTACCTCGATTGATTTGTGCTAGATGCAAGTCACGATAGAGAAAGAAAAAGAGAGAAACGGAAAAGAAAATGTACCAATATCAACCGCACAAAATATATCGTGCAGTGTTCATCACCGGTTGGTTGGTTGTCTCACTGTACGTATACAAGTGTGCACATCAATTCTCGAGTGGAGATTACTTCGTTTCGTTTTTCCTTCAACTGAGAATGTGAGATACTCTATTCTTGACGTCATAATTCTCTGTATCGTGGAATCTACGTTTCCATAGTTCAAAAATATTTTGCGTACGAAATATTTTGCATATAAAATATTTTCACGTTCTTGTATAAAACGTCGACGCAATTCTGTAAAATGTGCGCAATTGTGTAAAATAAGTTAGCTTACTAATATCGAAAAAAAATTTTTTTAATGCAACGAATGTTCAATATTGTGACGAGTATTTTCACTTCTAATATGATTTTTTAAAGATAGTGCTAATGGAGATCGAAAGTCCATTAGAATTGATATTTTTCAATTTGTGCGAAGCCGAGATAATATTTTTAGTTTGAGCAATCAATGCAATTTTTTGCACCGCGTCAGCAAAGACGTTCGTGCTGCAGTCGACGAAAAATGAATTATTATTCGCGACAGTTTTTGCAAACTCGGCGATAATCGAGACCTCGTTTTCGACTTCCGTAATTGAATTTTCAAATAATTGGAGCGTCTATTAATGAGGACGAATGATGGAAGTTCGATTTTATACGGTCGCGTATTATGCCTTAAGGCAAACTTCAATAAAGTCCTCTGTGTATTCGCTGGAATAATACGTATCAATTAATGTTTCAGAGAAGACAATAACAAGCCGAACCATGTCCTCCTCTTCACAATTATCAATCCAGTTTATCCCATCACTGTGGTGAGTTTTTCATGAATTTATCAATTAATATTGATACGACCTTCTGTTTTTGTGTGTTCTGTTTACACTTTTACACCGATAAAATAATTAACGCTCAGCACGTAATTCATATTTTTAACATCCTTATACACACACAAACAGAAAAAAATAATATAACTTGCAGATTATTTATTATATATATTTTTTCTGAAGCTTAAATGTTTTATTAAGCGTCTAAAAGGAAAGCAATCTGAAACAAGTATATAATAAATAAATATATATTATTCATTTAATATAAATAAATTTAATAATAAAATCCAGTGATCCAAAATAAAAGCCAGTGATAAATGACCAATATTGCATATACGCGCTGCATTTTTTTTTTGGTTTTTTTCCAAATTTGCAAACATGGCAGTCGAAACGAAAAAGTGGCGCAATTCCGCGATGCGCGGACTACAACGACGATTGGGGGAGAATATCGAAGCCAAAACCACCGAGAACAAAAGTTGGCAGCACGTCAGCCTTTTAGATTTCACAGGCCGTCGCACTGCATTTTATTTCTGTTTTGCGCCAATAATAGATGAGCTTTGAGCTCTCCCGCCGTTTCTCTCCTCCGCTTCTCGTCGACGGGTCGATGTCATTCGACATTGTTTGCCTCTGTGCTTCTGTTCGCGCGCGAGCGCTCGCATAGTTATCCAGCCACACAAAGCTCGTTTTCTTGCGCCTCTGCCGCGATCGAACCACTAATTAAAGAGCCGACTGAAGGCTTCTTGCTCGCGCGATAACCGAAGATGCTAACAATACTACAGTGTATCGAAGTGTAGATTGTAGCGTAAACACGATATTCTTGGTTCACGTAGCTAAAATATCTTGGCTCCAGCATTACAAATATTTATTTTATTCCTTCATATTTACTGATATCAGAAATTAGTGTTTTATAAAGAGATAAACATGAGGAAAAAATTATATAATCTCCAAATTTAATTATAATCATATAATAATGTTATTCCGTATAAAATATCATAAAAATCATGAAAATATAAAGTACTTTATTTGTTAATATTTATAATTGTAGAAAAAAATACCTATCTTTATATACTATTATTTAAAAATATATAACTATAATCTATATTAAATTAATAATTATTAAAACAAACTCTTGCATCACGAACGGGAAAAATTACTATGATATGTGGTAAAAACAAAGTGAAATTTTGTAATGTATACAAACAACGGTTAATTTGTAAAACGCGCTTTATATTCCATTAAGAGCTCATCTTTTCAATTTAATTAAAAGCTCATCTAACTAGAGCTTCCTTGAAGGTTTAAGCTCTCAAGCATGCTCTTAGCTCTTTCTCCATCTTTGTTTTCTTTCTTCTCTGTTTGCTCCCTCATGATGTTTTGTTTCGTAAAGCAATTATTCGTCTAACATTCTACAATTTAATGTCTTGACATTTACAAATGAATTGTCATAACTGCTATCCATTAAAATAAATTAATCGTAGCATTCGGCCTTTCTTTCCTCCATTGATTGTTTTTTTATTTTCTTCTCACGCGAGCTTTTCTGTATATTTAATCAGCAAATGCGCCGATCAATATTTCATTTTATTCAAAAATATACTGCCGATCGGTTTTTTCATCCACTAGCCAAACATTTATTTAACGAAAACGCTTCGCGGATATGCTGAACGGATCTATGAATGGAGAACACGCCGTTATTTTTGGAGAACAGTAAATTTATGAAATTTTTGGTTCTCCCAGCGCGTAATAAATAAAAATCAATAAAAAGTCCATAATATAATAGTGCGTATGTAATGTAACGGTGACAGTTGCAGCTGGAAGTAATTGATTTAAATTAAATTTATAAGCTGGAATTTTTATAATTTTTTACGCGTAATTAGCGTTACAAGCGAGTTCGCTTTTATAAGGTGCAAAGCAAATTAAATTAGCATCATATTTATTGCGGAATTTTTCGGAAAATGCATAAATATGTACATATAATATTTGACAGTGACAAAATCATCAAATAATTTGTCATCACACGTTTATTTTTACTATATTAATTAAATTGCATATTGCTTATATGTTGATACACTGTATTTATGTTATGAAACACATGTCAATATATAACAAACAAAAATTAAAAATTAAAACATGTAAAGTAATATAAAATTAACCAAGCGAATTCAATTATAAATGAATTATAAACAAATTCAATAAAATAAATTTTTTAAGCGATTCAAGATACTTGAAAAAATACAAAAACACATATTAATATATTCCTTATTTTATATATTAGTAATGTATATTCATATATGAATATTGTATTTTCATATTTTTATATATATATTTTTCTGTACTTTGTTTAGATTTTAATAAAGCGTTTGACTCATTAAAATAGATAATAAATTGCATTATTTTTTGTCTTAAAAACTTTAGATATACAAATTGAAAGTCAAAAACTACATAACTATATAAGCATTTCTTTATTAAAAAATAATTATTACTTAACTTATGATTAAATTATTATCTATTAAAATATTATTTCGTAATTATGAATTATTTATAATGAAAACTGTTTTCATCATAAATAATTTAAAATTTCATTATATGTTTTGCGATTTTAAATTACATCTCTTGCTTCATGCGATATCGCTTCGAATCGTAAGATAAAATCAAAACGTTTTTTATTGGGATTCTCGCCACTTATATTAGTCATAAAGCTTCTAATTGTGACAATATTGCAAGTATCATTATCTCACATATTTTCCAATATATCCAATATATATTTGAAATAGGGCGAAATACAGAGAGTATATATTATATCTAATTTATCATGATGTAAATGTCAGTAAATGTTATGCATGAGCAGGTAAATATTAATATCATTAATGACACGTTCTATGAGTCATATTATAATGAAGGGAGTGAACATATATAAAATAATTTAAATAACGTAATATTCATAAATTTAATTTTTAAAATATTTAATTAAAAGATAAAATTAATAAAATATATATTCTATTATGAGATAATATTGTCTTTGCTCAAAAGTAAAATTTATTCATTTCCTATTTATTCAAGAAAAATCAACATTTTTCTAAAGCATAACATATATGTCATACGTGGAAAAATTTGAGATATTAATTAAATTTTAAAAATTATAAATTTAATATAAGTATTTAATATTTTATAGAATATTATTAGTATGTGTGTATAATAGTTAATATTAGAGTATTATTTTAACATGTATAAAGTTTAGTTTTGTATTGAATCAATTATATATTTGTTGAACATCATATTTTTATTAATATCTTAGGTTTGTAAATTTTATTAATTGAATATTCTTTTAGCTCTTGTCAAGAAACGGAGAAAAAAGGAACAATACCTATCTTAAAATATTATTTACGTTTAAAATTAAGACATGTGTGCAGAAAATTTTTGATTTATACTAGTCACATACTTTGTAGATACATATACCAGACATGAATTTAAATGTGTCGCTAGACAAGAATAACCGGATAAATAACTCAATTTTACATCATGCTGCAAAGGCCAGATATTTCGAGATACCTCATCGAATCGCGCGGGAAAAGTCCTGCGGGACATTGACCTTTACACAATATAAACGCTTTGTGCGAAATCGAGTACACGTGCTCGGGTGTAAATTCAAGCGTGATATTGGCCTTTAAATAGCCCCGCCGTGTGTATGCAAACTGCGTGCAAGTTGCGTCGTAATTTGGAATAATGGTAGTGACTACGCAAATAAACATCTAACTAAATTGTCTCAGTATATGACAGCTTTGAAGTATACGATCTTAATGATAGAGTATAAACTATGCAATATAGAAAAGAGGAATTTATCGACGAACGCGATATATTTCATTAAATTAACATAACAATATGTTTTGATATTTTCGAAAGCCATATTATCGTAAAATATTTAATTTTGTAATATTTAGACAAACAGAAAATTATAAATTTTACTCATAATTTATTATATGTATATTGGAGAGAAATATATTTACACACTGTGATTCCAAATATTAATTTTAATGATATTTCTCATATGTTTAGTAAAATAAATATTTTTTAGTTCAAGAAATGTGTATAAATTAAAATTATGGAGGGATGTTTAACTGAATCAATTGCACTATATTCTCGGAAGAAAATTTCGTTATTGCATATCTCGTATTATCGGATATTAGATTTCAATAAATGGATTGCAGAGGGCCATTAAATTTATATCAAGCGTAATTGCACGCATTCCATTCATCTACGTTGAGAAGAGTGCTGTGTATATATATTCAGTTGCATTTAGCAACTTGTTACACAGAATGCGGAAATAAATTTTCGCACGCTTTGACTTTGGCAATAACACACACGGTGATGTGCGACAGCTTGCTGGATTTAGATTAATGAAACAGTTATTTCAAGACTCTCGATTCCGATCCTAGCCGGAATTTGTAATGCGATCCCGACCTATGTTTCTGTCTAACAAATTGCAAACTGGATTATGGAGATGTAAAAAAGTCGTATGTCATGCTTTATCACATCGTTATAATAAATTAATCATTTAATTTAATTAACACAATCCTCGATATAAACCAATAAAATAATAATAAACTAATGAAAATTTTAGCAGATTTCCAATTATTCGACATTGATTTGTCGAAAATGTGTGTGTGATTAATCGCAATATTTATAGTAGTATCATTTAGAATAAAATAAGGCTGATGGCTTTATTGGTTAATTACACACAAATATCAGATATTTCGGAATTGAAGTAAATTGATTAATATCGCGTATAATATTGTAGAATATAATATTTAATTGCGCGAAATATCACATGCTCGAAGATACAATTTGTTCGTATTACGTTTAATTTTATTAACCTCTGTTAAGCTAGCAGGACCAAATTAGCAAACTCAAACCAAACTTATCACATTATTTAGTACCTATTTTATACTAATTTGTACCACTAATAATAATTTTGTATCCTGTGCAATTTCGAAAAAATC